CAGCCTTTTTTTGTGTGCTTAATGATTCTTGACCAGTCATTTAGGTTACTGAGTGCCGAAATTGCTTATTCTGCCATCCCCATCCTTCCCAGTGTGCAGCACTGAATGAGGAGAAACCTGTCGCCTTCCACTGAAGGAGGACCACCAGGGAAAGGGAAAAATAAAAGGCTTAAGTTGATACACATTTGAAAAGCAAACAGAAGGAAAAACAGAACTTCTTAGAAATAAACAGCATTGAAGGAAGCTGAAATATGTTTGGCCCCAAAAATGGGGCCAGCAAAATAAGTTGGGCACCAAGTTTCAAAACAACTTGGTGGAGGGGGGGGGGAGGGGCCCAGGCAGAGAGCAGTACATTTTGGCAATTCGTGGAGTTCTTGATGGGGAAAATGAGGATCTGTACACATTGCTGGGGGTGAGGGGGGTGGAAGGGGGGTGGGCTGAAAGAAAAAGAACAGCCCTAACAAACTATTCTAAGCTAATGTAATGTTTATCAAGTTACTTGGATAATGATAGCATGTGTGCCATTATCATCATCAAAACCCAATCTATGTTTTAAAAAGTTACAGATGATTAACACAACATCAAGTTGATGCAAACAATTACTTAACACACACACACACTAACACACACACATGCGCATGCACCCCGCCCCCCCCCCCCCCCAATACACACGCAGAGAGAACCAGGAGGGCCCTAATATTCTGTAGAATGAGGGAGGCTGCAGCTGTATGCAGACAGCTTTCATATCCTCATTTGAATAATGTGTCCTGGATCTGTCACTTTATTCATGCTCCTTATGCTCAGTGTACTCGACATCAACAACAAATTAAGTTGTAAATAAGAGACAATCATCACTTTTGTTTTTAAGCAGCTACTGCACAGAGAATTTCAATGTACGGTTCCTTTCTGACAGGGGGAAAAAAAGGAGATGCTAGAGTTTGCTTACATAAGCACAAATATGGGGAAAACCAACAGAAATGAAAACAATTAGAAACACTTTACAGTTGCTGAGGGGGGGAAATATTCTCTAAAGCACATCATAGATTACCAGCTGAAATTTCCTCTGAGAACATACTTAAATATATAAAAAACCAGAGGCTGAATCACCCAAATGGCACTGCAAACTTATTTCACTTCACAGACCCTCTGTCATGAAACACAAGGTCCATCCTTGCCTGGCACACCTCTGCTCAGAAGGACAAGGGTATACTATTCCATTACAACCCAGGTGTCTTTATTAATGAACTTACTCCACATATACCTCAATTAACTTTCAAGGGGTGAAAAAGTACCACCACATACATAGATAGGTGACTACAAAGCAAATGAGTGGGGTTGGGGGGGGTGATGGGACAGGGACCTGAATAAATATGAAAAAGTTGTGCGTACCTTCACATCTGAGAAGTAGGTCTTCAGCATGTTGGAGCTGGGATAACGGGTATAAAAGAACATGAGCTTTGCTTTTTTCAAGTGATTAGGTGACAGTCCTTCTTGCATGTAGGATTCAAGTAGTCAAGGAAAACATCTCAATAAGCGGTAACAACAACTACCATTACCCAGAGAAACCTGAGACCTAGAAATGGTAGGCAAGTGCCAGGCACAGGGCATCTCATCCATCATTGATTTGCTGCTTTGCCCAAGATGATCATTACCTATATAAAATTGCTAAATATAAAGAACTTCAATGTGGAATATTGTCTTTTTCTTGGCAAAAAGAAATCTCTTCCATTTTCAGGTTTTTGTGCTGGATGTATGTTCACTTGTTGCTACGGAGACAAATGGACCCACATGTGCCGTACAAACTCTCATCCCAAGATTCCCCCCCCCTTTTCAGTAATTATAATTCTATCTCTTTTTTTCTCTCCATGCTATGGAGTTCATAGTCAATTATTATACTGATGTGAACAAAAACACAAAATGCCTTATTTTGAACATTTTGCCTTTTAATACTAAACTAATTAGGTATCTCAAGTCACCTTGTTCCTATCATATTATTGCATGGTCTTAACTGCTCACTTTTCGATGACAGCCAAAACTCAAAGGGGAGGGAGGCATTGACATAGAAGGAAGAAAAAGCAATGAAATATAGGAGTCCAGTTCTTGTTTAAAAGGAGAACAAACAAACAAACTAAACAACCACCACAGTAAGAACAGCAAAAATCCTTGCCATTCCCTATCTGTAGTGGTTAACTCCTCTGAGAGTAACAGAGTATTGGGGGCTAACACATCAATACATGTGGGTGAGCAGATCAATAAATGGCCATTTACCCTAAATAAGGCGGCCTATTTATCTGGAAACATCATTACCTTTTAGATCCATAAACAGCAGCAACTAAAACAGTTCCCAAGAGAATGTGAGGCTAACCATAACAATCTAGGCTTCCTGAGTCTCCCCCAGATTCTTGGCACTCTTCAGCGAGCTCTGTGTTAGGATGGCTTTGGTCACATCTGTGCCGCAGGCTGGCCCTGCCATTTCCTCAGCAAATTAATGGCTTTATAATTTATCAGAAATGAAGATGCACGTGGAGAAAATCAATGTGGTCCCCCACAAGGTCAATTAAGGGTCCTTCCTAGAAGCTTCTCTGAGGATTGTCTTTAAAAGGAAAGTCTGGGGAAAAAATAGAAAAAAAAAAAAACAAAACAAAACAGAAACAAAAGCCCACATACAACCCTACTGTAGCACTCAACCAAAATTTTGCACCTTGTGAAAAAAGGTCAAACCAGTTCTTTGATACTCTGGAGCAGGGAAAGCCTGTTCCAATGACCTTCACTAAACTTACAACAGTACCAATCGTGGAAGGAAATTTTTAAAAAGTTCTTAATTCCAGCAACTAAATAAGGAGGCCTAATCAAATTAATATTGATAAGCTTTCAACTATTTATAAGTGGGTATTTAACAGCATATTTTGAGGCAAATTTAATGAATTAGCATTGCTTTGGCTATTCTATGTTGTGGTTTTTTTTTAAAGGAGAAACTTAATTTTGCATAGAAAACAAAAATATCAAGGGGAATTTCTTAGCCCCTTTAGAGTAAAAGAACCCACAAATGTTTGATTTTGTGTCAGTAACCTGAAAAAGCAGCTCACTCTAAACTTGTGTTTTGTTTGAGATACTTAATGATTACAAAGGAGATAATTTATGACTGACATACTTCTTGTGCCAAGGAAAGAGCTAAGAGAACCTCGATGGCTACCTCCATTAGACCGATAGAGAGGCCTGAAAGAGTGCTGCACTCTCTTCAGTGCCATCTGTCAAAATGGGTAAGTGAAATAACAGTTGCAAGCTGTCACCTATTGCTTAGTGATAAGAGTTTTAGGCAAGTCAAAACTTCTGTGGATGTAGATCTCGGATCCCAGTATCCTTATCTTTACTTTCATAAAACCATCCAAAAATCACTTCACACTGGACAGGGTTGTGGGTGTGTGTGGGTGGAGGGGGGGGTAAATCTCAAACTATTCAATTTAGAATTTGTACAAAAGAGACAATATTTTGCTATGTGAATCAAGTGAGTTAATATTTTCATTTAAATTTTCCAGTGATCTTACTATGGGAAAAAGCATTTTGATCCTCTTTATGGTCAGTTAAAAAAAAAAAAAAGTCTTGTTCTGATCCCAATACAGGAGCTAGATCTTTCATTAAAAAGCATGCCATGTTTCAGTCTCTCAAAGTCAACTTTTGGTTAAAAATGTTTCCTGCTAGCAATACTTGGAATTGTTCAGCTGAAATCTGGCCTGGAATAAATCTTTATCTCTTGCTCATCGTGTTATTGGGATTAAACTGCCATGAAAGATGTGTTTCTAATAAACTTTTAAAAATAGCTAATGAAACATTTAAAAACCCACAGTGGGATAATCCATGTTTTTTTTTTTATTTTTTAAATAAAATAAAATTGAACTGACCAATTGGTTAATTTCCCTTTTAAGTGCTTGTGCTGAAAAGCAAGTGTTCTTCCAAGAAAGCACTGGCTGTTTCCAGGATACTTACACACGCACAATGAGTCATGATGGAATAGATTCAGTAAACATACAGCTGTACTGAACACGAGCTAAGCTCCATTCAAGGCCAGGAAAGAAAATGAGCACAAATAAATATTAAGGAGGTAAAGGGGGGTGGGGGGGATGGAACGCAAACAAGATCTGTCCCGGCAGCTCATGTGGCTTTGCCTCAATTCTCTCAGCCATAGCTTTGTGAAGACAGATGACATTCAATTCTATGTGTAATGCAAAATAGACAATAACTGCTGAAACTTGAGACAGCTGCCAGGTGTAAAAAAAAGGGGGGGGGGGAAGAAAAGATGATAAATCCATAAATTAATGAAAGACATCTGCTCGGGAACATAAAAGATCAGAGAAACAGTGTAGTGCAGCTGAACCTAAAGCAGTGTTCAAACAACCTGAGAATCTGAGTGTTGTCTATTTACTAAGTACAATATAACCTTACCTAAACAACGGCAGTAAAAAGGCTCATGGAAGAATGATGGGCACAGAAGTGCTGGGTGGGGAGGGTTGGAGGAAGAAGGCCGCACAAGTCGCCATTTTTACCAACCCAATACTGGTTTGTGGCTCAAGGAATTATTCATTTGCAGTTCTCAGCAAATGGATTGAGCCTACTTAACAAAAAACATCTTAGTAAAAATGGCCATTTCAAAAGAATTCTCCCCTTTTTCTGATTTTCTGTTTTGTTACCTTTCTAGTAAGTTTCCTTCCTAAGATACCTGTAGGAAGAGAAGAAATGGACTCATTGAACACAAACTATTTCCCAAAATGTTAGTAAGTAATCAAGTGGTTGCTCCAGTACAGAAGTTTTCTTAATCAGCAAGTTCTTAGTTTGGAGAGATCTTGAGAATTTTGCTTGTCAAGGCTTATGAGAGTGGAAAAACAAATAAACCAAAAATCTTTGTTTTTTTGTATATTAAAAAAAAAATCACACACACAAAGTCTCTACTTACTCTAAAGAACAGACTTTAGGCTATTTAAAAATATTAACTGCTACATGCAGCTTTGGGTTTTCTGAGCAAAACTTTCATGATTTGACATTTGTGGCCAGACTTCTGAGTTTTATTTTCGTTCCAATTTCACACATCTAGAACCTTTTTCTTTTTTAAAGTCTATTCATTTAAATGCCCCTAGGAAAGTTAAGAGGGGACAAATTGTCCATCATGGATAATGTCTTCACCTGTACAAATGCAGTAAAGGCCTAGAATGACACTGTTGTGCTTTAATTGGCTGCATGCAAATGACTGAGGCCTAAAAAAGGCTACTTTTCTTGAGATGCAAAGAGGATGTGTGACAAGGAACATCATGGAGAAAAACAATTGGCTGTCTGTTTCTTTGGTGTTTGAATAAAACTTAATATTTGATTAAATAGATTCATTTGCAAAAATACAGAATATATTTTGTAGAGCCAAGACATGACCTCTTTTGGCACAGGTATATCTTACAGTCCAGTTTAACCACACTTACACATTTCACTACTTCCTTTCTAAATTAATTGGAAGAAATGATAATGTAATGTCAATTTGCATACAACATACATGTGTATATGTACTTAAGTTCAATATTCTGATGGGCCTTCAGGGTTTAAACCTGGTTTTTGTTTTGATAGTCCTATGTTCTTAATTTGGCTAGTTTACAGAATGGAACAGATGTTGCTCTTTGAAGTGAGGAAATAATTATTCCTTAAGAGATGAATTCTCTACTTGTATGCAGTGACTTGATCTAAAAATTATAAAACAATGAAATACTACCTTCCATTTCCACTCAATTCTATTTGTCTTAATTAATGCTACTGCATGTAGACAAATGGGTTAGATTAACTAGAACCTTGAGGTAAGTCATCATTCCCACTGATCACAGGATTTTTAGCAAATAGATTGAGAAGTGTCTCTATCTAATATAAAATTTTAACTTAGATGCTCAGATTGATCAGTGGGGAAGCTCAGAGTGTGGCTCAAAGATAGAGACAGAAGGAAAAAGAGGAGTGGCATATAGGACCCCCACATGTGTACTCTATCTCTCAATTGGCTTTCAGGATGGTTTAGGCAATAGAAAAGAATATGCGTCTATCTTTCTTCTCAGAAATAGCACACAAATGAGGAAAAAGGTTAAAATAGGGTGAGGCAGAAAGACAGGAGACAGTAGAGCATAGAAAAAAGGTTAAAAGATTGGAAAGTTAAATTAGTAAAGGTAGTGGAAAGCACCAGAAATAATCATAATAAGACACAACTTCTGGTACCTAAGGGGACTAACATTTTATATGAAAGTAGGGGTCTTTCCCTCCCTTGAATTTCAGTAGAATTTTATTATTGGCAGGAGTGAGAGAGGATGTCTCTAGTCTGAAAAGAGGGCAGTTAAAATTTGCTTTAATTCCTACAAAAAGATACAAAAAGGGGCTTCTCTTGCCCTAAACCCTCAAATTTCATTTCCCATTAAGGGGATTTAGATGTTGTATGTCAAAAGACTAAGCCAATGCCCAAGGCTATTTTGAAATTTTTCTAGGAAAATTTTTCTACCGAAAAAAAAAAAAAGCCAAAACTAAACAGGTAAGGAGAGCTGGAGTACATAGAAAGTCTTGTTTAAAAACACAATTAGTATTTTGAAGGCTGAGAATCTGGTAAGGAGACACAGGGCATAGGGAACTGGCCTCCACTGTTTCACTCTTTTGTTGATCAGTTGCCTAAGAAGAGGCAAATCTCTCGGCTTCTACTTTGAAAATTGAAGACCCACCATCACTACCACCCACTTCAAATAACTGCTGAGAGAATCAATGCCAGGGTAAACCAGCATTGCAAGAAGCTTTGTTGAGTTCACTTTCTCAAGGGCAGGAGAACATGGAAATCTCTAATGTCTCTTAGCTCATTCCCAACAACTTTAGCTATGTAGCTAGGTACAAGTGCTGGTGAATTCCTGACTAGCCAGCTACTTTTGGACAGGTCACTGAAGGGTGGGAACTGAGTCAGAAACTTAAAGCTAAAATTCTTTGTCTCGATCCCCAAAGCAATAGTCACTTAGCAGCTCAATTCTTACTGAATTGGAATAATAGGATCTTAAGAGCTAGAAAGGACCTCAGAAGACATCCAGTATAACCCATACCTGATTAAGAATTTCCTTGACTATGTATCCCACTGGTCATCCAGCCTTCTTCATTTGAAGAACTGGGATGAAAGAGGATCTCTCTCTCTCTCTCTCTCTCTCTCTCTCTCTCTCTCTCTCTCTCTCTCTCTCTCTTCCCCTCCACCCAACATGCCCCCATCTCAACCTTGACTAAGAATTGACTCCACTTTTAACCACCCAAAAAAGTTACATGCCTGTACATCTGACACAATCTATCAATGAAAGAAAATCTTCTCTATTATTGCAATGAATATTGAAGGGTAGCTCTGGGTCTCCCTGGCAGTATGGCCTTCATTAACTAGGAAAACAAATTAACTACCTGAGCTCAGACTTTGCACTTATGCGGCAGCCTCTAGAGTGGGTTTAGTTACCAAAATGTCGATCTCTAGTCATAATGACTATTGCCCAAAGTCCTCAATTTAGTACTAGACAAATTAATTACTAAATGTCATACCCATCTGGTAATTTCTTCTATAAAGGAAAAACTCAATCTGTCACAAATACTACCAATGAGGGTACAGAAATATTAAAAAGAATACTCACTCCACCCCTGCCTAACAGCACTGAACACCTTTACATCCACAATTTTAGAAACTTCCCTAAACTAGGACCAATTTACTAAGGAAGAGATAAATATTAAAAATGGTTGAAGTTCAGGACAGATTCAGTTAAAAATAAGTCCGGCATTTTGACATGAAAGTCTGATTTGGAACTTGAAAGAGTTATAAAAAAAAAAACCAATTCTGTAAATTTAATACAGACCCCTTTAAGTCTAATACTGAGTTTTATATTTAATTGTACTTTCTTGCTTTCCAAAATAATTTGCTTTGTGTATGTTAGGACAAAAGATTTCTGTATATGGCTGAACAGAGGTTAATCATGCATAGCAGACAGCTGCAGAGGGCCCAAAGAACAGATCTTTGGGTGAGTGAGGCAACCCTATGCAGTTGAATAAATCAGTAACTGTATCATATCTATTTACCTATCTGTGTGTTTATTATACATATACATATACATGTATATACACGCATACATACACAAATACATATATGTGTATATATCCATACACATATGATTTATATATGTGAATAGATGTGTGTATATACATATATATTATGTCCACTTAAAAACAGAAGTGAAAACCTTTTCTTTCAACGTAATCTTACACCAACAGTTATTTTCTTTGTGAGACTTAATAGAGTTACTGGTAAATGGGCCAGTTTTAAATTATTTTGGGGAGGGAATGCTAAAGGATTTTCAGGAACCCACAAATTAACTTCCATAATTCCTCCATATAAAAGCTTTTTCTATCTCCCATCATGACCGAAACTAATGTTTAAAAAGGGAATTTTTTTAATCTCTAAATTCCCTCTGGAAACAGAAGAGGAACAACAGAAAACTATTGCTGGAAAGATATACGCTAAATACAGGGTACAATTTAACTCTCATCTTTCTCAAGTAGCAAAGGTTTGGTAGTAGTTCTAGGCTGGTATGTTATCAGAAAGGTAACATCTATTTAGGAAAAAAAACTGCCAAGATGTTGACTTGTTTTCCCTTTCAAACAGAAACTGCAAAAAGCATATTAAAATGTAAGATCAGATCAATCTACATGGTTCTCTATCCCCTTAAACTTAAACCTTTTCAGAAAACACTTTATGATGGGAAAATAAAAGGATATTGCACTTCCGGAAAAAGGTGAAATATCAGACATATCTTGGAGATCACCACACTCAGACTTTATGAGAGACAAGGAGAGGCCTTCAGCTGTGCTGGGCGGATGTGCTGGTGAACAAGGGTGGTGGTTCATATGATGGGATGACATCTTGGTCCTCAGACTTGCTGTCTCCCTAGTTAAGTCTAAGGATTCTGGGGAGGCTCTATCTTTCCCAGGAAAAGAGGCAGAGGGAGCACCTAATGGATTCTGAAATGGGTAGGCCATCAGCGGGAGAGGGAAAGGGTGGCGAAAAGAAGATGTGGTGAAGCCTGTGGTGGTGGAAAGTGGAGACTGGTGCAAAGACTGATGATGGCCACCAGCTGGTGGACCAGAGGCAGATTGGTCAGATGAGTTTTTGCGAACAACTAGGGGCAGTGCTTCTGTTTGGTCTGTGGAGCTGGGCATTTGCATGGTGCCAAAGGTGTCCAGGGGGTTTGGAATGATGACGTCACCAAAGCACTGTAGGCGCTGGTTGGCGGTGTGGAAGTTATGGTTTTCCCCATTGACTGCAAATCTTGCCTGAGGGATCTGAAGAGGTGGGAAGACCTGAGGAAGCTGGCGGGAGGGTTTGGATGAAAAGACTTTCACCACAGTGTCCACAACTTGTGACATGGCAGTATTCAATTCCTGTTTCAAGGTCTCGGCCAAATGTTTGCCTTCTGAATGTAAAGAGTTTGGCCCTTGGTCTCTTTCTTTATTACCTTCCCTTTTCGGCTTATTTTCAGCTATTTCTTGCTCCCTAATTAGGGCCCTGGCCCGGTCAATAAACTGCCCTGGGTCTAACTCACACATCTCATTATCTGACCTTCCCACTGAGTCCTGGGCCCTCACATCCAGGATTTCCGAATGCATGCTGTCTTCAGACAGGTTACCATCTTCATCATTTTCAGAATCAGTGCTGTCATAGATTTGGTAGAACTTTTCCTGCAGCTGGCGCAGCTGTTTCTGCATGTCCTCCAGCTGCTGTTTCAGCTGTCGGCGCTCCTCTCGCTTCTGTTCTTTTCGAGCTGAAACCAGCTGCTGGAAACTCTGTTGCTGCTGTTGAGGCAGCTTTTGCTTGCGTTTGTTTTCTCGGTAACTTTCTCGGGGACTTACAGACTGCGGAGCCATCTCTCTCTCATTTTCATTGCCCCTTAACGCCACACTGGGGGAATGGCTCATACCCCGAATTATATTCTCAACCCGGGCGCGCTTAGCTCTCAGGTGCTCATCACATAACCGATCCATATCAAACTGGCTCATAGTAGGCCTGCCAAAAGGGGAAAGACACTCTGGGGGGCTGTCTCTTGAAGAGTTGCTGCATATATCCTCCTGATGTACTTCTGAGCCTGTACTAGAGAGACCGCTGGCTTGGAAACTGGGCTCTGTGCCACCATTTTTGTTCATGTTATTTTTCAACAGCTGGGAAATTATGGTTGCTCCTGGAAAAGGCATCATGGCATCTTCATACGAGTTCGCCCTCTTCAGCAGCTTGCGGAGTACATTTGACTTTTCCCCATCTGCATGCTGCACCACTGAATACTCAACATCCTGCTCTGAACCTTGGGGATTCATGGCACTAAAAAACGTTGCTCTTGCCTTAGCAAAAAATGCAGATGCTGTCCCTACCGTCCTTTTCACTCCAATGTCAACTCTTCTTCTCTTGGTTTGCCTGCTTAAGAGGGCTGTGCTGTCATGGTCAGGCATCACTGGACTGTTATTGTGCCATCTTCAAAAGCTCGTCAGCTGGGCACAGCTCAAGAATCCCGGGACCCTGGCCAACAGAACAAAAGGACTGATGAATCATTTTCTTTAAATTTCTCCAAATTTCCTGACCTCAATCCTGAATAAAATGCAAAATGCATAGGCTCTGGGATTTATGGCACATTACAATTATTGCAATTTATTATGCACTCTGCTTGAAATGAAACATTTTTAAATATTTCTGCTCCACTGGTTTAAGATGGATTAAGATTTTAAAAAAAAAGGCAAAAACTGCTTAAGCACCAGTAATATGATTCTCTTGCACAAATGCTTAAAATGATACTGTTTATCTTCAGAAGAAAGAGCAGATTATAAGAACACAGCCTCTGACCAAAAAAAAAATTGATTAAATTTGGGGCATTGAGTGACATCACAAAAAGAAGATGAAAGTGGCCCTTCCTTAACATGCAACATGAAATTAAAAATCTCTAAAAACTTTGGATTAAAATTCAATTTCTGCCTAAAATTTGTTGTGATTTTAATGCTATAGAAGAAAAGTCTTGTCAAATCAGTGTAGGAAGTTGGCACATCCCCTTCCATTTAACTGGGTAGAATTTTTTTAACAGATTAAAATTACTCTGTTTGACTTGTATGTGGGAAGGGAAAATCCTATAACTTAAATCATCAACTTAACATTGAAATAAAAATGGAATGAAAAGTTTTATAAATCTACTGTTTTAGCATAGGTATTTGGACCAATAATAATCAGCCAAAAATTTAGTCTGTTATACCATGACCTAATATTAATTGTATTAATATTGTAAACTGTATCCTTTTATGAATTAATTTCTTTCAAAATTAGTTCCACTGGAAAGGAGATTCTTTAGAACATTTTTAGATTTATATGTATTTTAGAAATTGAAATATAGAACAACAAATTTTTAGCATGAGTAAGAAACATTTCCAGTGCTAGTCTTCTTTCAGAATCTGCTTCAAAAACAATACCTTGGGTGCCCAAAGCAAGCTTTTTACATATTTTTTTTTTTGTTAAACAGATTCTTATTTCCTGTGCCAAACTTAAAAAAAAAAGAGGCTGAAAGAAAATCTGAAAAGATGAAAGAAAAATCACAGCATCAATCAAATGTGTGAAAAGGAAAATACCTTCTCTTAATATGAACTCTCATTGTTTCCCAGGAACACAGTAAAAAGAAAGAATATACTTCTTTGCATTTTATAAAAGGCTCAACACAATTTGTGACTTATTAACTAATGATGCTAGACTCAAATTTCATATAAACTATTGGATATCACATCCCTTTGGTTACAATTAACACTATACTAAGAAAATGAAAATATTTTTCATGCTGCATTTATCTAATATTAAACTTCACATTTGCTTAACAGAGCACATCTTCACAATAACAGGGTATATTGCCAAAGGCAGCATGCAGGCTTTTTGGAACAGCTCCCATCTCTTTCGGTTCACCTGTAAAAACATCTACGTGCTCCCTAGGATTGCATCTGTGGCTAGTTTTAAAGAATGACTATCCATGCAAATAGGCATAATTTCAGCATGAAATAACCTGTAAAAATCAAGAAAATGTTCAATGCTTAGATAGTAACAATGTGCAAAGAGTCAAAGTTCCTCCTGCCGTCTTTGCCCATGGTGTTTAGGTGGTCTAAAAACATTTTCAAAAATTCTCTTTCAGATTATTATGAAAGAAATACTATGCTTGCTTACATTTCAAACTCTTTGCATTCAAGAAGACAAAATGGATCCTCTGAATTAAGATTGGAAACTTAATACTTTGCTCAAAATGCAATTCTGAATGTTGTATATATATATAGAAATTATTAATGAAACCAGTTAGCTATAGAGAGCCAGAAGCACAATTACAAGCCCCAAGGAGACATACTGTAGGTCCATTTCACTTAGGCCTGAGAAATCAGAGGACAGTTGGCAAGAGATTTTTTTTTAGTAACCAAAAAGATCTGAAAACACACAGATAGTGAGAGACAGACAATTAAAAAAACACACAATCAAATGCATATCAACACATGATAGATGGATTGATGTGATATCAAAACTGTACTAATGATCACAGTAAGACCTGGGTAATTTGAAGGCTTTTAAGGGTTCAAGAAGGGGGAGGAAGAGCTAAAAGGTAGAACTTTCTTTTCACATTAACTTTCCAAAGACCAAGCCCCTTGAACATCAGTTTTTAACATTTACCTTTTTCTTTGTTCAAATACTTGGAATTCACCTCCATCTGTAAAAGTCATAAAAATGAACTGATTTCCAATTAAAACCTTTAGCATACTTTCTGTGTTTTGTCCTTTCTTTCTGTTTACCTTAACACTTAATCTGGAATTTCTTTTTGGCTAGTCTTTGTCATAGGGACATCATCTCCGAGACAGTGGCTCAGGAAATTGCATACTGCTATGAGAAAGAGCATAAGGTCATCCTCAGGCATCCTTCCTTTCCAGCTGCCATTTTCTTTTCATGTCAACTGCATTTCCTCTCATCTAACCCAGGTATCAACAGCTGTATCCCAGCATCTCATATGTGCCAAGAAAGGAGTTGGATTCTTCCTAAGGTTTTGGGAAGTAATATTTCTTGGTCTGTCTGTCTTTCTCTTTCATTCTCACCATAGGATGAGTGTCAATTAAACACACTTCTTCAGTCAACTGAAAATATAATAATCTGAGGACTCTCCTAAATCAATCAAACTGAAAGGATTTTTGGAAATTCTATTTCAACTTGTCAACATTTTCTGACCAAATATTGACTAATTTCTACCATGGATCTTTGAAGCACTGATAAATATGCTGAGGAAACTTGGGCACATTGGGTTCCATATCTTGGTGTAAAATGCCATTTTGGAATTCATTTCTAACCAAATATATAGAGAAAATAATATGCAAACTGATTCAGAAAGAATGTGGCATTTGATCTACTGACCCAGAGTAATAGTATTTGAATGATAAACTCATGAAGGTGAGGTCAGATGATTCTAGCCATGAACCTTCTATTTCTTTAGCACTATTTCATAATTCAGAAATATATGTTAAAGACAGCTATCATATCAGACTATCCTTCTAAATGATCTATAGACTGATTTATTTGAAACTACTTATATGAATATGTGTATATGTATGTGTGTGTATATATATATATTACATACACACATATAAGGCTTCCGTGATTTCATATTTCAAAATTATTTAGAGGGTCATTTTTAAAGAAATTGAGCTATGATGCTACCGTTTCAGTTGAGAGCATCTGAAAACTTTTCACAATATCTATACTAAACAAATAGTGTTAATTGTGCTGATTACTGATATTCATTTTAGTTGAATTTTTATATTTCTAATTAGCATGAAGTAGAATGAATATACATTTATACATAATGGTAAAATATTATCACAAGCATATAAAAAATAGCATAGGAATTTGAGGAAACAAATTAGTGACTAGATAGCTACATTGTTTCCCTGAAAATTCCTTCAGTTATTATTAAAAATGCATGTGATTTTGTTTTTTGTAGTTCAGTTATTTAGCTGTCCTTATTGTCATATAAAAACTTCATATAGCATATGATTTGAAAACTATCATAGAACAGTGATGCAAGCACAGCAGGTTTATCCAGAAGAAGCTCAGATAAGGTCAAATAAGGAATGAGCAGCTTCAAAAGATTCTTTAGTAAAGTCTTAAGTGTCTGGCATTCAATTTGGCATAAAGAATCTTTAGGAAAGCCATGGGTCAATGGCTAACAATGAAGACTATTTAGTAAGAAATTCCAGGGGAACATTACTATATTAATTTATTAATGGAATGTTCTCTGCTTTTACAAAAGAAGAGGCTACTTTTGCTATAGCTATATTTGTAAAGCAAGGCTGACTGAGCTTAAGGATTCTCTAGATAGTTTAGGTAAAATAATTTGTTATGGGGGAGAGAAGGGAAAAGGTTTTTTTTTTTTTTGCCTGAATTATTTATATTAGCTGTCTCTACTGATCAAATTACTTGAATAAATTGTTCAACTCTCCACTTGACTTTATCTGAGTAGATATAGCCTTTGGATGAGAGTCTAACTGACTTAGATCAATGTAGTTATGAAATCGAAATAGAATGTCATTAATAGGGAACATTTTAATTGATCTAGCAATGCATAAATCTGAAGGGAAAAGAATCAGGTGATTTAAGTGCCCCCAAATCACTTAGCTTTCCCCAATAGTTCTGAAAAGTGACAAATTCAATTCTACTAATTAGCAACTTTTTCCTTGCGGTAGCTTCTCCTTCCTATTAGTGGCAAAAAAAATGCTCTGACATTTACTTTCAGGAACCCATTACCCCCCAATTACTACTTCAATTAGTTATGATTGTATTGCCAATAGTGCCTATCATCTTAACGGAGTTCTGAAGTAATGACTACTTCATTATTAAGATTCTTCCACATCATCAAAAATTCTTTAAATTTTTCACCTGCAAAATGAGGTGATTTTAGATTTATGCTAAGAGCAATGTCATACATCCTTTAAGAATACATATAATAGGTATGCTGGGTACCAAAGTTTTACAAATAAGCATTTTCACATGTACTTCTAAAATAATAATTCACCCAACTAGCAAGTAAGATAAAAATAAACCCAAAAGGAAAAACTTGCAAATTTCTCCTCCTTGTAGAGTATCCAAATCATTATTAAGTTCTCTGCAACCTATACTTCATAATGTCCTGTGAAGCCTAATGAGTCACTAGGCAGTAAGGTTTATGAATTTCCTAGTCTAGATTGTCTTTCCAACTTAGAGAGATGCTAAATCAGAATCCTGAGGTCAAATATCAATCATAACCAACTTTTACATTATTAAAAATAAGTAACGTTCTTACAATGCACTTTGTGAAACTTGAATCCTAAAATTATCAATACTATCAGTTACATATATGCCACAACCCTAGAATGTTACTAAAAATTAGTGAGAAAGGGGTTCACCTGCTTCTTAAATAACTGAAAAGCAAGCCCAAGTGTTTATAGACTAGGGCAGAACATACTTTAAGATTTCAAATATTGCTTAGAGAAAAAAGATGTTGAGAAAGAACAAAAGTGTGAACAAAGATTATATGAGACATGTTATACTATATTACTTTAGAATATTATGATGAAGCTTAACAGAGCAATGTAAGGTAGATTCACAAACTTACAAATAAGCTTCCACTACAGACAAACTTTGTTAAGAATGAAACAAATGAACATGGCCATGAATAAAATTTTAGACATGTGAAAATTTCAAAAACAGCTAAGGGAGAGGTTGTGAAAACTTAGATGTATGCAAGCCTAAAGGATAAATGCCTCATGCAATTCCATCCTCATGGAAACAATAACAAAACAAAATTAAAAAAAAATCCACCCACCTAACTTACTACCAGGCAATTCATTTTATTTAAAGAAGCCACAACCAAGGTGAGAAAAGAAATGAGCTAGCTTCTAAGACTTCATGTTCTCTGTTAGTTAGAAGGGATCAATTTCCACTTTCTTCTCTCCTACAACTCTCTAATATCTTTCATTGGAATTTAATTTGGCCATTTACATAGGACATATCTATTTTGTATATACATGTCCATATTGAATGCACAAATGCCCTTCCTACATCTTTTTCTTTTACTTATGTATGTACAACATCCAGCCAATTTCATATTGCCAAGAAATTTTCTTGAGATATTCTTTACCATTAACAGGCTACATCTTTCATCAAAGAAGAATGAAAATTTACAGAGTTTATACTTCAGGTTTTCTTCCATAGGTAAAATAATGTCTAGGACATCCATTCTGACTCATGCCTGATGTAATAACAGTCACATCCTACTTTCTGGAAGGTAGCATTTTATAAATAATCTACCCTCCCTTTGTATCTTTTCGGTAAATTGTAAGTATGTGTACAGATCTATTCTTTCTGGACAGGTGTAAGGCATACTACAATGATAAAGTTTTAACAATGCCAAGGGATTTGATTTTGGTATTATCACCTGTGTGGGTGTGTGTGTGTGTGTGTGTGTGTGTGTGTGCCCCAGTGCACGAGCACGCATAGGGGCACACACATACAGATACACCCCCCCCAGGTTTTCAAAAAACATAAAAAAGTACTGCCTCTAGTTTCCCTTTTGCCTTTTCTCTTGATAAGTCAAATGCAAACCTGGGAGGATAAACATAAACGAAACACAACACAGGGAAGTGAAGGAACAGGCAATGTCTGTCCTTCCACCTGCTGCCCAAAGTATATACGTGTTTGGGGGGGGTGGCTGTGACTGCCTGGAAGATAAGAATCTAAGAAGAACCCAGGAAAGGGGCTGCCAAAGACCTCTTAAAAATATCACATGGCAGTTTCAAAACCCACCAGCAGCTTAATTATTCTCAGCCTGAACAGTCCTATCAACCAGGACACTCATAAATTCTAAAACCTCGACAACCCTCAAGCACTGTGGTTTGGGACTGCACAGAGAGACAAACACAGGGGAACTTGCACCTGTCTTTCTTGACACAACACACCTGTCTAGCCTTGCCCATGCGCACTTTGTTAGCAGACCTCATAGTCTGATAAAGGAAATATAAAGAGAGATATGATTTAAAAGAGAGGAGGTGGCTAGAGAAAAGGAGAAGGGGCTCTCCTTCACTCTAAGAGGAGACTTGCCAATTTTTTTTTAAATTTTCTATGCTGAAAGGGAGACAAGGCACACACATACACACACACAAACATACACAAATAAATGTTCTTGGAAAAATACAAACAAGCAGGTGAGTCCTCAGCTTTCCCTGGGGCTAAGGGTGCAGGGTTGCCAAGAATGCCAGTTTCACACCCCAACCTGTCTCCTTGAGTTATTTTAAACTCTTCCCCCACCATCACTCTGCCCTCCCTTCTCCTTAGTCCAGATTTCAGTCTGCCTCTGTGCCTTTCTCCTAAAGGCATACTCTTCAGCTTCAGCTTTGGGAGAATCTGGGT